ACTCTAGGACCCAACCACAAACCTGACAACAAAGCCCTGTTCCCCGCTGGGCTTTAGACTTACCAACAGCAGCTGGGATGCCTGCTTTTCGCCTCTGTTACCTGCAGGCCAGACCTCTCTTACATTGCGAGCCAGGTGGCCCAGTACTCTCGCAAACCAACGGCTGAAAATCTCTCAGATCTTCAGCGAGCAATTCAATTCTTCATCTCCACGCCCAATGTCGGGCTCTATTACTCCACCATCCCAACCGCGTCCCTCAACTTCATCGGCTACGTGGATGCTGATCATGCCGCTGACCCCAACAATCGACGGTCCAGGACAGGTTTCCTCTTCCGTCTCGAGCCCAGTGGCCCCATCTCCTGAAATTCGCAGAAGCAGGAGCTGGTTGCCCTATCATCAGCAGAAGCCGAGTTCATCGCAGCAATAGCAGCTGTTCTTGAAGGTCTCTAACTTCAGGAACTACTACAGGAGGTGAAAATCCCAGCTTCGCCAAACTTCCGTCTGCACTGTGATAACTAGAGCGCGATCAGAATCGCGAACAAGCCTGGCTTCGTTGACCGCACCAAGCATATCGCGCTGCAGTACGTCTTCGTCAAGGACAAAGTTGACAAAGGCAAGGTCGACCTGACCTACTGCCCGACAGGTGACATGGCAGCTGATTTCCTCACAAAGAAACTTCCGCGTCAGCAGTATCAGCACTGCTCCGAACTCAGCGAAGTAGTCAAGCGGGTCAAGACCTGCTACGGCCAGGAGTGAAGGTAGTGAAAAATGAATGAACTACTGTGCACTCCTCACTGCAGCAAATGAAGCATGCAGTACCGAGGCTGGAGACGAAAGGGCGGTAGTGACGCGAAGGGTCATACGGTTAACAGAGGATATGGACCGTCGGGCAGACAACATCAGGCAGCAGCAGTGGCGAGCTTTCTGCCCGAACGGTTTCGTAACCACCTGGAGTCGCACGGTTGTATTTCGCCGTAATAAGGAAATGCACCCCTTAGAGTACATGGCTAGTTATGTCGATTCATATTCCTTCCTGTACTCCTATTTATACTCTTGTACTTGCATATTTTAATTCATCTCAAACATTTTACATTCACTCTGTTATTGAGGTCAAGGGCCCACCACCACGAATCATTAGTGCGCAAAATTTCCTGAGACGATCCTAGGGACGATCAAAATCTGATCGCAGCAAGATATAGTATGATATAATCGATATCTGATAAGAATAACATTCTCTCACAATATTTGAGATTTTCTTGCAACTTGAGTATCCCCGGGAAAAAAATCAATGCCTGTTATCAATGTGCGCCAATAGCGAATCATTCTGCCATACCCATCGTTTGAGCTGGTTGCACCATCGGGTCATAAGGGAGAGATTCCTATCTGCACATTCGTCAGACAGAAGTGCATCAGGGCTATTCCAGGTATACCACGGCTTTCGCTGGTCCTTCGACCGGGCTGGTTCAAGCAAATGTCCCTCTCTTTCTCCCATCCACTGCTGCAGCAATGTTGATTTAATGCCACATTGACAGCGTTTGACGACAATAAATTATATTGTTCTGTTGTTATCGTACACCTAACGCGCTGCAGCGATGGCTCATATAATGCGCCGGTTGAGGCCACAGACTCGATTGTTTCTTGGCCTTCAGCGGTCATTTAGCTCCACAGCAGCCGGGACGGGTGAGAGGCCGTACAATGCCTGTCGAGGTTAAACGCGTTTTATCAGCTGACCAGATGTTCCTCGATGAATGCGCATGCAGGGGACCCAAACTTTTTGGAGTCCGTTGATATTTATTTCGACAAGGCTGCTGCCATCTGCCATGTGCCAGGGGACATCCTGGGACAGATAAAGGTATTTCTTCGGAAAAAAATGCAACTTTGTCCCGGGATATGTTCTGAAATCACTGTTGCTAACCATCTAGTATTCTTCGCAACTTCACCAGGGATGCAACAATGTTCTCAAGGTTCAGTTTCCACTGAAAATGTCGAATGGCACGGTCGAGCTGATCGAAGGCTACCGAGCACAGCACTCTCATCACAGGCTTCCAGGTGAGCCCTTCGAATGAGTCTTTTGGCATTACAGGCTAAAAAATCCAGAAGGTAACTTACGTTCGTCTTATCGCCCTTTTCAGGCAAGGGAGGTGTCCGCATGGCCCCAACCGTGGACGCGGATGAAACCGTGGCCCTTGCTGCACTCATGACATTCAAGTGTGCTGTTGTTGATGTTCCGTTTGGTGGAGCCAAGGGAGGAATCAAGATAGGTAAGCAGTCCCAAGAAAACGTATTCATCTGTGTTTCCGTAGAGACAAGTCGGGGGCTGACTCACCTTTTCCGTTTTGTCCAACACTGACCATATGCTGATGATACGAAGACCCCAAGAAGTACTCGTCGTTTGAGAAGGAAGCCATCATTCGACGTTACACCACGGAGCTTGTGAAGAAGAACTTTATTGGCCCTGCTATTGTGAGTCAACCCACCTGTATCAAGCGTGTGCGTTTTGAGTGCTGATTCTGCCTGACAAAACTGTTCCTGACCTGCACAAATATTCGTATCTCAGGACGTCCCGGCCCCTGACTACGGTACAGGACCACAAGAAATGGCGTGGATCAAGGTGGGTCTTCTTTTAAGCTGCATTTGCAGTATTGTAACTCAATCTGACCGCTTGTATGGCTGACTTTCAGGACACCTACGAGACTTTGAGGCCAGATGATCTCAATTCGTTTGCTTGTGTGACTGGAAAGCCCATCGAAGAGGTATGCTCAAAATATCTATCTGACGATCAATGAAAGTCTAAGAAACAACACTTACATTCGTGGAAATGTGACTACAGGGAGGCATCCGTGGTCGGACTCAGGCTACAGGAATGGGCGTCTTCATCTGTCTGAGGGAGTTCCTCAGCAGCAAGGTGCATAATATGCAGTGTTGAGTGTGCTCATGCTATACCTCTCAATAACGTCTCTCACAATGGCTCTGCGGTTCCTTGACAGAACTGGATGACGAAGCTGAACATGTCAACGGGTGTCGAAGGAAAGTCATTCATCGTTCAAGGTTTCGGAAACGTCGGTCGTCATACTATAGACGTACGTCCATCTTCGTTCATTTCCTGTTCCTTTTGTCCACTATGCAAAAAAGACATCAAGGTAATAAGCTATAACCCCCTCCTGTTCGGTCCACAGGCTATTGTCACAGCGAAGGGAAAAATCACCGCCATTGCTGAGTATGATGGTGGTTTGGTGGATGAGACTGGGAACGGCCTTGACATTGAAGGCATCAAGCAATATCATGCACGGAATGGCACCATCACGGGGTTCCCAGGAGCCAAAACTGTAAGAACACATCTGGTTGCCAACATGTTCTCTTGACCCAATAATGCTGTCCTAACTCTTGGAAACTGGTGTTTGCAGGTCTCTGACCCATTCTCCCTACTTGAGCTCCCTTGTGATGTCCTCATACCGGCGGCACTGGAAGGCCAAATCCATTCAGGAAATGCCAGCCGCATTAAGGTAGAAACAAAGTCTTTGCTTCTTCAACTTCCAGCTAAATATTGCTGAGGACTTTATGTTGTGATTCGCGTGTAGGCCAAGGTTGTCGCAGAAGCTGCAAATGGTCCTGTCACTCCTCCAGCAGAGAAGATCATGGAAAGCAACGGAATAGTTGTTCTGCCAGACCTTTTGCTGAATGCTGTAAGTATGAGAATCTTCAAAGTCCACGCTTTCCTAGCATTCTTCCTTGTCCCTTGCTGCACGTCTCAAAAAAGTACTTACTCAGAAAGCATTGCCTGGACTGTAGGGTGGTGTGACGGTGTCCTACTTCGAGTGGCTAAAGAACATCAACCACATTCGCTTCGGGAGGATGAGCCGACGCATGGAAGAACGGGGCAAACAGGTGAGGCTCACTGACCTGCAGCAAAAAATTCCTGTCAGAGTTAAGTTTTTTCACGGTCAAGCACTTGGTATAATACTGCTCCATTGTACTGAGGCTTTTTCTGTTCTCAATCCCAGGCCTTACTGGATGCTTTGGAGAAGGAGATTGCCACCGGTATAAAATTCGCTGACGACACACGTCGTTCCATCATTAAAGGGTGCGTTTCCCCTCCTCTGTAGAACTGTTTTCTCGTGGTTGTGCTCCATCTTGTTTCCGCCATGTATTTTGTGTTCATGGCAAATTGTTTGTCATTCTTCGAAAGTTTATTTGTTTCAAGCGTTTGCTCGTTCCCCACCGCTTGAGCAGCAACACTGAGGAGGATTTTGTGTGGTCTGGCCTTGAGGAGACAATGATAAACGCCTGGGATGAAGTCAAACGGGTTGCTGAAGAAAGGGTAAGAAAAGTTGAGACATATCGAAGTCCTTTCATACGAAATCAACACACCTAACAATCATCTCTCTGATTTCTTCAGGAGTGCAACTTCCGCACAGCCTCGTACGTGATTGCCATCGAGAAAATTGCCACATGTTACCGTGTCAGTGGAATCTTTCCCTGAACCGCTCTACTGGAGTACTGCCGCATGTTGATTGGTATTCTTGGAAATTCTTGATAACCTTCCCCCAGGAGAACCAAGTGTTGCTGCAATTTGCTCCACTGCAATACCAACATCAATGTGGAATTAATATGTATTTGGTGGTACCACTCATACTGCAATACCATATGGATCAAGTACTAGCCTTTGACAGAATACTGGAACATACTATCACGAATGGTGCACTAACACATTGATGTATGATGTACAACAGGCAAGTGGAACCTAGTACCAGCTCCTTTGACTGGTTATGCATCAAAGTAGACCTAAAGCTAATGATGGCTCTCTGAACAGACCTCCCGGTGGTGAGGGTGAAATATCTGAGGCAACCGAAGGTTCTGAGGACACCGAAGCCTGAGAGGAGAGAGAAGGCTCGCTGTCGAGGGTTCTCCCAGAGAAGAAGCTGGATGATGAATGCGGTGAGAGGATGCGGGGAGGTGGGAGCGAGTGGCAGTGTGGAGCGGCTGCTGTATCCCGAACCCATTCATGTGCTGAAAGGTGGGAATGAGGGGGAGAAGGGGTAGTAGAGGGCGTCACGAATGGGGAAACTTGCATCCCCTAAGGAAAACGAATGCGCCTAAAATGGGAGCACACTCACGATGTCCATGACCACCCAGCTTGACTGCATACCCAAGTTCTGCAACTAACAACATTAAAAAAAAAAAAAAAAAAAAAAAAAAAAAGAGTCACTCACCTAATGCTTGGCTTGTAGTGATTCGTCTGGTGGGGTCTTTGACCAGCATGGCTTGAAGCAGCTCCTTGGCTTCCTCAGAAACATGCTTCCAGCGCGCAGATGAGAAGCGAGGGGCTTTAGTTCGAATGGCGTTGTAAATGGCCTCATTTGAAGCGGCCCAAAAGGGAGGCAGCCCGGAGAGCAATGCGTAGACTAGAACTCCTGTGCTCCACACGTCTGCTGGAGGGCCCCAAATGCCGTCTAGAGTCTCTGGGGCGAGATAGAGGGGTGTGCCGTATAGCTTGCACGAGGCAGCATCTGGAAACAACGGGGTTGTAGCAGGGTAATGCAGCAAGACAGAGAGGAAGGTGAGAAAGATAAATATTTATGGAACAGGTGAAGTAAAGAATATTCAAGTCCACCAGCAAGAAAGAACACATAGACCCCACTTGCTGATGCATTCGTGGACATCCTGAATCGTACGTTCCAAAAACCGCACAAACCATGACCAAACAAGCAGGCAAGAATCACCCTGAAAGCGAAACTTCAACAGTCAAGGCAAGGTCCAACTACCCTGTCCCTCTTCCCCCGATACTCTCCACTGCCCCTCTGCTCCCCTCTGGCTCCCGAAAGAAGACTTTGACGAATATCATAAAACAGAACCACACAGTGCCGAGCAAACACTTCAAAATCCGCCGGTGACTGACCAGGTTCGACGTCAGTGGAGATGCCAAAGTCCACGAGCTTGATCTGCTTCACACTGCCCGGCTGCAGCAGCAGCACGTTCTCCGGCTTCACATCGCGGTGCAGCACCCCGCACGTGTGGCAGTGGTGCAGCGCGGCCAGCAGCTGGCGGCACACGGGTGCTGCCATGGACTCGGGCAGACGGCCATACTGGCGCATGAAGTCGAAGAGATCGCCGCCGCGACACAACTCCATCACCAGAAAGATGCTCTGACGGGCGGGGGAGTGAGAGGGGGGGGGAGAGAGAGAGGACATGGGGTGGCAGTGGTGCAGCGCGGCCAGCAGCTGGCGGCACACGAGTGCTGCCATGGACTCGGGCAGACGGCCGTACTGGCGCATGGAGTCAAAGAGGTCGCCGCCGCGGCAAAACTCCATCACCAGAAAGATGCTCTGGTGATGGGGAGAGTGAGATGGGAGGGAAAGAGGGCATATGGGTGCTGCCATGGACTCGGAAGACGGCCGTACTGGCGCATGAAGTCGAATAGATCCCCGCCGCGACACAACTCCATCGCCCTAAGATGCTCTGGTGATGAGGGAGAGTGAGTGAGAGAGAAAAGAGCAAGACGTGGGAGGGAGAGGGGCAGCATGGCATGGCACGGCATGGCATGGCATGTCACATCATAGTAGCATGTTACGGCACAGCACTGGCTCACCTTATCATCCTCACACGCAGCATGCAGCTGAACGACATTGGGATGCCCCGATACCACCTCCATTGCCGCCACCTCCCGCCTCAGATTGCGCGCCTCGTCCGCTGACTGTGCCGTGCCATGTGGTGCAGGGGTGGGGTGGGGTGGAATGGGGTGGGGAAGGGTGGAGAGAGAGCATTGGCAAGACAACGAAGTTGCATGAGGAGAGGACGAGCATGACAGACGCATGCAGCTGAATGAACCTGGGATGTACCCATACCACCTCCATTGCCGCCCATCACCCCCGCCTCAGAATTCACGCCTCATGTGCTGACTGTGCCATGCCGTGCAGAGTGGTGGAGGGAGGGAGAGAGAGAGGAGCGATGGGAAAGAGTGGACGGAGGGAAGGGGGGAGAGAGTGTGTTGGCAAAGGCCAATTGTGCAGGTGGAGAGGAGGAACAGGGGAAGCGTGTACAGGCACCCAGATGGCAGAGGAAGCGTGAAGTGAACACGCCAGCTCCTCTCAAGACTGCTCCTTTTGAAGCATGTTCCCACCGACGCACCTGCCCCTCTCTTGCCAGTTTGCCGCTTGATCGCACCTGAATGCTCTGCTTGTCGATGGTCTTGCACGCCAGCCTCGCACCACTCTCCCGCTCCACACACACGCGCACCGCGCCAAACTCCCCCCGCGCCAGCACCTCCCCTCCCATCTCAAACCGCTCCTCCACGTCAGCATACGGCCGGCCCAGGATAAACGCCCTGAACACGTCAGCATCCGCAGGTGCTGAGTCAGCACGTCCTGCCGCCCAAGCAGCCTCCCCAGAAGGGGACTTCGCAACAGCCTGCCTCCCTGCCCCTCCTCTCCCCTCCCCTCTATTCCCCTGTTGCTGCTCCCCCAGTGCCCGTCCCATGCTTCCACTTCTCCCATGCCCTCCGCCCCGCCCTCTGCCCTGCGCTCTCCCCTGCCCCTCGCCGCTGCTGCTGCTCTGCACTGCACGCACCCCCGCCCCTTCCGCCCCGCCCCTGCCATTACCAGGGAATTTCGACCCACTACTCCCCTCCGCACCAGCCCCACTCACACTCTTCCACCTCGCCTCCCCATCGCCCGCCCCACGCCGTCCCCCGTCTCCATACCCCCCATCCCCCCCCTCCCCCTCGCCCTCCTCGTCTTCCTCCTCCCCATGGTCCACACACAGCCGGTCAAACTCACCCACACCAGCACACCCCACGGACGCCGAGTGCGGGAACAGAGGCATGGGAAACGGCGCCATCCGATTGGCCCGCGCCAGCGGGTTCACTGCCGCATCCAGCCGCCCGCCGCCCGGTGTCGTCGGCCGCCCACCAGATGGCGTCGTGGGGCGGGCACCGACCGGTGTGGTCGGGCGGCCGCCGACCGGCGTTGACGGGCGGTCCGTGATGACCGTTGGATCGACTCCGGCTATCCTACCAACGGGCGTCAACGGCCGTTCAAACGCTACCGACTCATCAGTGAACGCCCCTCCTCCTCCCCCCATTCCCCCGCCTCCCCCGCGCTCCCCCACCCTCCCCCCTGGTGTCACTGCTCGCTCCATGCTCCCATCGCCTCGCCTCACAGGCGTGGTGGGCCGCGGCACCGCCCCCACACCACCCCACGCCCCTGCTGCCCCTGCTGCTCCCCCTACTCCCCCTCCCCCTCCCCCGCCATCACCACTCCCCCTGCGCTCCACGAACGACTTGGGTCGCACCTTCCCGCGGAAGCTCAGCCGGTCCGCCCTGTCCGCGCGGCTGCCCGCCTGCCCCTGTGCTGCTGCGCCCACCCCCCGCGGCACTGCTGTGTGCGGCCGCGCTGCTGCCTCCACCCGTGCTGCTGCCCCCAACCGCTCTGCCTCTACATCCAACCGCTCTCCTTCCGCGTTCAACCGCTCTGCTTCCACATCTAACCGTTCTGTTGCGCGTGTGGTGAAGGCCGAGGGCGGCCCCCCTTCCGCCCCGTGCAGGGGCGTCGTTGGCCTCTCCACCGCGCGCCCCACCCGCCCCTCCCCGCGCGCCCCCACTGCCGCTTCCCCCCGCCTGGTGGGCGTCGTAGGGCGCTGCCCGCCCCCTTCCGCGCGCAGCCGCGGAGTGCCGCTCCTCCCCTGCCCCTCCGCCGCCCCCTCTGGCCACGCTGCCGCCCCCCGCCCGTGGAGCGCGCCGTCTTCCGCCTCCTGCCTCCGCGTGGGCGTCTTGGGGCGCTCGAGCGCGCCCTCCGCGCGCAGCAGCGGCGAAGCGGGGCGCTGCCCCGCGAGGGGCGTGGAGGGGCGCTCCACCACGCGCGGAGTCACTGGCGCCTGCACCGCCCCGCCTACTGCTGCTCCGCCTTCCCCTTCCCCACCCGCGGCGGCAGCGAGGCGAACCCGCTCAGCTTCGTGCAAGTCCATGCGCGCGGGCGTCCTGGGTCGCCCCACCACCACCCCCACGCCCACCGCCGCCACCCCCACACCCCCACCAGTACCGCCGCCGCCGCCGCCGCTCATGTCGCGCCTGGGGGGCGTCGAGGGTCGATCCAACGGCGCTGTGAACCCGCCCGCACCCAGCCCACTTGCGCCTGCGCCTGTCCCCTGCGCGTCCGGTGCGTGCGCCACCCACTGCCGCGGGCTGTCCTCCTGCTCCGCCACCCCCGGCCCTCCGTGTGACTGCAACCGCCCCACGCGCGTTCTCGGCCTGTCCGCTCCGCCTCCCCCAATTCCCGCGCCTGCTGCGCCTGCCGCCTCCACCCCCCCACTGCCTGCGCCGGAAACTCCCCCTCCCGAATACCCCGCGCCGGCATCCGCCCCGCGTCCTTTTAGCCGCAAGGCCGCCCTCTCCGCCACGGCGCGCGCGCTGGCGGTCGACGCGCCCTCCCCCGGCCGCACCTGCGGGGCACTCGCGCTCTTCCGCAGGGCCCGCGACGCCACCGCCCCCGCCACAGTGCGCAGGCCGCCACCGCCGCCGGGGGGAAGGGCGGCTGTCGCACTGCTTCCGCCGCCCGCAGCCGCAGCGGCGGCGGCAGCAGCGGCGCTAATCCTGACCTGCGCGCCCATTGCTCCCCTTCCTCCCCCGATTCCCCCTTCAGAGCAATCCGCGGAGGTCGTGGGCGGACCCGGTTGGACTGGCAGAACCTTCCCCGCTGTCACCGGACGGGCGCGCGCTTGCGCTTGCCCTGGTTCCGAAGGCCTCCGTACAGGGGGCAGGCCTGGCGGGGCAGCTGCGCCATGCGCGGAGGAACCGCCGGAAAGTGGGGAAAGGTTCGGAGGCGTGTGCGGCGGTGGGTGTCTGACTGCGTCTAGCTTCCGCACGGGCTGCGAGGCGGAACGCGCAAATCCGCGCCCCCCCGCGGCTGCGCCCCTGCCGGAAGGGCTCATTCCCCCCGGTCTACCGCGCCCTGTCGGCATCCGACTTGGGCTGGCGGAATCGGAGCGCGCGGAAAGCGGGGAATGGGGGAGAGTGCGGGAATGAGGAGATCCGCCGTTATTGGTGGGATCCGTGGATTCTGGCCACGACGCGCCGCCGCCATCGGACCTAACGTCGTCCAAGCTGAGTGAATCGACGCCGTCGGATCTACTGTCCACGTCAGATGATCGAGCGGGCGGATTGCGCCCGCGGGAAGTTGCGCCGCGCGCGGAGGTCTCTGCGGGAATACCGCTCGAGGCGGAAACGCTCCGCGGAAATGCATGCCGCGCGGCGGAGGCTCTGGAAACCGCAGAGGCGACCTTTCCGCCGGCCGAACCTGACAGCCCTGGGAACGCAAACCCGCCTGGCTCGTCACCGTGGTTCGATTCAGGTTCGGAATCCGAACCTAGTCTCAGATTTTCGTGGCTTGCAGAGCCTCGCAAGGCGGGATTGCCTGCAGCATTGGGACTTCGGGGCGGTACGGATGGGTGCGAGGGTTGCACCCGTGTTTGTGATTGGGCCCGCGGTGTTGTGCTGTGAGACGTGTCGGAACCTGATTGGCTCTGTGGTCTCGCCTTTTCGGATTTGGACGTGGGGAATGGCCGTGATAATGGACGATCTGCGCCGCGGTCGGGTCTTGGCGCGGACGGGGGATGAGCTCTAGGAGCGGTCTCCATTAAGAACGCAATGAGACAAGGTGAGTGCGGGCATCCATGAAGATAGGTATGGTGGATGGATGGATGGATGGAAGATGGAGAGTCCACTCAACCTTGGGTGCCAAGCCCATGGAAACGGGGTTGCGTTGAGGGACTTGTACGCGTTAATGGCGGCTTGACACAGCCACCTCGGACACATAGTGACATCATGAAGATTGTGATATGTAAGTCGATATAGATGAGGTCTAGGTAAAAATCACCTATTGCTTGTTTCCAGTCTATTTTACAAAATGGGGTTTATAATTAACCTATCAATTTTATTAATATGCAGATAAATCACGGTGGGGAAGGGGGGTGAGTTAGAGATGGTATTGGAATTGACAACGAAATTCTCCAACGTTCGTGTACCAACTTATCAAAGGTTGACCCCAGCAGATAACCATGTGCAGGTGTGTTCCACTTTCAAGGACTGCTTAGTCATGAGCTGCGAAGAGTTGCAAAAGAGAAAGGTGTATTTTGCCCGACCTGTTGAAGTGGCTTGAAAATTCCACCGACCATTTCCTGGCACTTACAGTATCTCGTATACGTGCCAAACACGCCCTCAACTTGTCGATGCTCGCTAGGATGCGACGTGTCCACTCATACATCGCAGAATCCCGCTTGGAATCATGGCTTTAGAGACTTCCACGATGCCAATGCCAGGCCGTTCCGACGCGCTTGTAATTCGTCCGAATTCAACGCCGCACATACAGTCAGCTGTGCGTACTCTGCGTACTTTTCTCTTCGTTCGTGATTTGCCCGTCATCCCACATCTTGCGAGTTCCTTGCTGCACGACTAAACTTGCGGTTGCCCTTCCACAGGAGTGACAATCATGGCTCGGTCTATTCCGTGCTCGTTAACCGGGTCGCTAGACGGCCATGCACGCGTCGCAGCATCGAGAACCAGCACGCCGCCTGAATGCGCCCCAGCGCGTTCCCGCCACGTGCTTTCTCTTCCTTCACTAACCACACACGCGGCGGCCTCGGCTTCTCAGGCTCTTCGACGCGCTTCACCTCCGCCGCAGCGCCTTTCCGTTCCGCCTTGCTGCGCGCAACTCTCCGCCATGGCGGCGATGCGCGCACAGCTTAACCGCGAGAACTATCACCGCGCAGACGCGGCGCAGTCCCGGTGCTTCGAGGCGGCGAGCGTCGGAAGCACGACGAGAGATATCCGTTCCTTGCAAACGCATTTGCGTTTGCATGCGCAGCCCTCCCGGCATCGCGCGCGGTGCGCTGCCATTCCGCCAGACGCTGCCGCCGCCCTTGCAGAACAAATCGCCTCCGCCGCTCATGTTGCCGACGCAGCTGCTAGCCTAGCAGACTCGTCCCCCGCCGCTACCGCTGCTGCTGCTGCTGCGACGGGTGACCTGGGGGTGTCTGGAGGCGGAGGACGGTCGGAGGTGACGTGGCAAATCGTGGTTGGTGCAATCGGTGAGTTGTGAGAGAGTTTAAAGCATTGAAGGAGCAGACAGAGACTGGCAGAGAGCAGACGGAGAGCAGACGGAGAACGCGAGTGCACCTTCTTCTCGGCTCACCTCACCTCACCTCCATGTGCTCGTCAAAGCGCCTCTAAGCTGATCCCCCTCTTCCCCGTCTTCCCCCTCTTCCCCCTCTTCCCCCTCTTCCCCCTCTTCCCCCTCTTCCCCCCTATCCACCCCATCCTCCTCATTGTCATCCCCCACCCACTGTACCATCCCTGTCCGTGCCTTCCCCTCTGTCGTCCCTGCACCAATCACCACGTGCCAGCTGGCGTGATCCCGTTCATCGTGGCGTCCATTGAGTTCGGCAAGCGCATTGTGAGTCACCTCCCCCCCTGTGTCGCCCTGTGTGTCTCCCTGTGTGTCTCCCTGTGTGTCGCCCTGTGTGTCTCCCTGTGTGTCGCCCTGTGTGTCTCCCTGTGTGTCTCCCTGTGTGTCTCCCTGTGTGCCTGTGTGTCTCCCTGTGTGTCGCCCTGTGTGTCACCCTGTCTCATCACCTGCTTGTCGAAATGATGATAATGAGCGACGAGTCACTTCGTACTCTCTCTTATCAATCCTCCATCCCTCACCGCTGACCTGGATGGCTGTTGCGCGTCATCTATTGCAATGCGTGCATTGCGCACCTAGGGTGATGAAGCCCTCTCCACGCCCTTGCTCTGCTCCTCGCTTCTTTATGCTCCCCTCTCTGCCTGCGCCTCCTCATTGCAGCCTTTTAGCGCCGATGTGAACCATGCCAAATGTGTGACTCATTTATTCTCATCTACCTCCCTCCCTCACTCCACCCCCTTCCTCACTGACCTCGTCCAATTCCCCCCCGGCTCGCCTCTCCGCCCAGGCGGCGCAGCGGCGCTGTGAGGCGTGTCGGGGGTTGGGGCTGCAGCTCGTGGGGCGCTTCTACCGCCGCTGCTCCGCCTGCGGTCAGTGTGAAGGGGCGTGGCACGTGTGGGTGGCTGTGGCATGCATGTGTGTAAAGGCTGTGGCATGCATGTGTGTAAAGGCTGTGGCATGCATGTGTGTAAAGGCTGTGGCATGCATGTGTGTAAAGGCTGTGGCATGCATGTGTGTAAAGGCTGTGGCATGCATGTGTGTAAAGGCTGTGGCATGCATGTGTGTAAAGGCTGTGGCATGCATGTGTGTAAGGTCGGTTGCATGCGCGAATGTGCGAAGGGCTGTTGCACATGGAGTAAATCGATGATGCAACCCCTCACATGCTTCGCCATCACCACCTACTCACCTGCACAACCTGAGGGGGAGCTCCTTTTGCGGCTCTGCCTGCTGTGGTGGGCACACAGGGCTCCCTCAACTGCGTGCCATGGATGTTACTGGGTTTTGCTGGGCATGCAGCTACGTGCAGTCAGTAACCATGTTCCTCCCTTGGTTCTGTTGTGCTGTGCAGGCGGTTTCCTGCCTTGGCAATCCTGGCGCAGGTTCTTCCTAGGCTGAATGCAGGAGGGAGCGTCCGTAATACTTGTGCTACCTGGGTACTGTATGTTGGCCAATATTTCACCTACAAGCAGAGGGACCGTAAGAAATGTTACAGTAACTGCAGCATCGCAATGCAGTTGGTCCGCGGCTAGCCTTGCCACCATTGGTGCAGAGGCAAAGAGGGTGGACCAGGAAGAGGGAAGGGCTTACTTACTACACCCATCACCTGTGGGTGATGTGATGGCAGTCTGGCAGCCTGCTAGCTGCCACTCGCACCTGTGTGTGCCTGGACAACTTGCTAGCATCAGTTGTGTCGACCCAAGGCGAAGAGGGATGCAAAAGGGGAAGACCAGAAATCACGATCACTGAACTGATTATTTCACAGTAGTGTGGTTCCATATGTGTTCAGGCGGGAAAAGTGCCACGCAACGTCACGACACGAGGATTGTGTTAACATGCACAGCTTGAATGGCCCTTCATGCTGCTGCAATCATGAATCGCTCTACTGGACAGGAAACTCCTCATTTCTCATTCTACCATACCCTTTCCAGCAAATACTTTCACTTAGAACGCAACTTTCTCACCATTAACCGCAGCTGTCTTCTTACTGTAATTACCTCAATAATCAAAATTCCCGCTTCTCTTATAAAGCATCTGCCTCAGCCCCTCTACTCACAATCTGTTACCACAACTGCCCACTATAATCGCTATCAGTTCCCACCACCCAGAGAGACAGGGCACCCCCCAGACCTCCACTCAACTTCACGCTCTTTCCAACGACCAGGCAAGTGGCTACCCTCCTTGCATTGCATCTCTCCTTGCCGATTCGCTTGAAGCTGTGCCTGGGACCGTTGATGCGCCTGTCTGTGCACCTGACCACCCCAATGATCCATCCACCATCCCCCCACCTCCCTGCACCAACTTTGCGGCACTTCCATAAAAACAACTCTCCTCACCTGTCTCCCTGCCGCAATCCTTGCTCCCATCTCCCCCACTCCTCTTCTTGCCGGGGCATGTGAGTGTGTGGGAGGGCCAGTGCGCCTTCTGGCACTCTTCGCTGCAACACGCTGCCTTGCCACACCCACCGCACCTCCTCAACTTCTTATCACCGCACTGCAGGACCACACACACGGCTTTACACATCTGAAGGAGAAGCAGCAGCAGCAGCAGCAGCAGCAGCAGCAGCAGCAGCAGCAGCAGCAGCAGCAGCAGCAGCAGCAGCAGCATGGGTGCTCACAGCAGCAGGGGCAGAAGAACCGGCAGGGATGGGAGGGGAGGCAGGGCGGTAGCAGGGCTCCCCCAGCAGCATCTCTCGCAAACATGCCACCACATTGACTCCCCCCGGCCATGCCTTGAGATACGCCGGCTCCTACCCCTGCTTGCCAATCCGCTTGTTAGACCTGCTGCTGCCAACCCTCGAAGCACCATTGCTGCTGCTGCTGCTGCTGCTGCTGCTGGCAGTGCTGCTGGCAGTACTGCTGCTGCTGGCAGTGCTGCTGCTCCCCTTGGCAGACCCACGCTGCCCCTGCAACCCCTCACAGTACCTCGGTGCGATTGCTGCCTCAAAAACCCACGTAATGTCCCACTCCTCTGCCATTCTCTCTCCATTCTTGCCGCCTCTACACTCCTCGCTCTCTCCCTCGCTCCCCGCATTGAACTTCCATGCAGCAATTGCTGCGGATACCACATCTGCACCTCCTCCCACACCTCCCCACCGTTCTCCCGATCTGCCTCATCATCCCAGCGGCCTTGCACCTTGGACCGCCCCGCCCGCCCTCTAACACTGTATTCCTCCTCAAACTCATCACCCATCCCCAAAAGAAAATCTGCGAACCACACTGCCATGCGAATGAGAAAGTACAGAGGCACCTGCTCGGCTCGCCTCAGCAGCATATGCAGGTTTAGTGGCCTGGGCAGGTGCGGTGGGAAGTCCAAGCACTCAAAGACACCGTCAAAGCCACGGGAGGATGGCGGGAAGACTGAGAGCACGCGGGAGAACAGATGGCTGACGAAGCGGTAGGCAAAGTTGGCGATAAGAGCAGCGATGCACACAGAATGCATGAATTCTGCGAAGCAGATGCTGCACTGGGTGCACGTGGGCGGGTCCACGATATACCCCGCGAACCCCAACAGGAAGTCCACATCTGCCCGGCAGCGAACGATAGGAAGCTTCCTTCTAAACGGCGGTAGCATCGTTGCTCTCTGCTCGACGGTTTGACGTGCTTCAGCTCTCTCACGCGCTCTGCTCTGCATGCCTTCTACCCACCCTCCTTGCTCGACTGCCTTGGCAACTTTCCTCCTTGCACTCCTGCTGTTCCCTTCTGCTTCAAGTACCCCACGCGCCATGCGTTGCATGACTTCCTCACCACTTTCTTTGCCTACTGCATTGGATCCTTCTTCTTTTGCATGCCGGCCGCCCCTTACTACTTCAGACGTGTCATGAGGAGGGTCCTGAGTCAGCTTCTCAGCCGCCTCTCCACACTCCTCCACAATCCCAAGCCCAAAACACCTCTCCTTTCGGTTCACAGGAAAATTTACAGCAAATTCGTCGCCCTGAGGCCACTCTTCCCACTTCAAAGCAGCGCTGCTTTCATCCAAAGGCTTAGGAATGTTGCCGAACCTGACCAGAAGGCTCGGAAGGTCCCGAAGCCGGTAGCGCATGGTGCGGTCGTTGAAATGAGGGTCGTCCTTGAAGCACTGTTACTCCGAGATGGAATCTGAGCCGTAGACTCGGACCCACTGCAAGATTCAACCGACCCGGTACGTGAGTGCAGCAACCACAGAATTCGTATTGACAGGCACGAGCCTATTGGCAAGCATGGGTTTAGCATTCATATCGATCCTTGCAGCAGCAGGAGCAGGCGCAGATCGCTCTACACCTGCTCTTGCCCCTCCACTCATCCCACTTCTCTGCTTCAAGCCGGGCTGCCGCAGCCTCCTCCTGGCCACCAGAATAGCGGCACTCTCTACCTGCATCTTGCTCGCATTGTTGCCATCATGCAAAAACAGCTCCGCATCCTCCCAATGCTCTGGCTTAGATAATACTGTGGTGACAGCAAGGGCGAAATCGGGTTGCATTTACACCACTCACATGCATACCCTTCGGAGCATTGCTGCTGCCACTACTGATGCCATAACTGCTGACGCTGCTGCTGTTGCTGCTGTCGCCCTCACTGCAGTGACTGCAACTGAACTCCCTCCCTTCCCCCACTATATTCTCCAAAATCCAAGCCATACCATCCACATACCTCTCCCACACAGGTCCCTTCAATCTATCCCTCCAAGTCAAGCCCTTCCTTACCCTCCCACACTTCTCAGCGACCCCACTGACCCCTACCTTGCCCTCTGTCTCGTCCTCTCCGTGTCTCCCGTCGTCCTTCCCACGTGACGCCTCCCATATGCCCTTGCCCTTCCCATGCATCTCTTCAGCACCCTTCTCCCCAGCCCGCCTTCTCCCCTTCCCCTTCCCCTGTGTTTTCTCAACACCCTTCTCCTCAGCCGACCCTCTCCCCTTCCCCTTCCCCTGCGCTTTCTCTGCAGCCTTCCCTTCAGCTCCCCTCCTCCCCTCTGCATGCTCCTTCTCCAGCCCCCCGGAGAGAAGATGCTGCACAGAGAACCCAAACCCTTCCTTCAGATCACCACTCTCCTTCACCCCCAACACTTGCACCAGCATGGACGCAAGCAGTCTTTCTCCTCCTGCCTGCCCGCCCCCAGCTTAGCCACAATCGCTGGCCAAACTGACTCAAACGAGATCAGGTGAGCTTTCCATAGAGTCATAAGGCGGGGGGGTCTCGCCAAAAGCACGAGGAATGTGGAGAAGCTGACGGCACGGCGGTAGGCAGACCAGCAGCTACGGCTGCAGCGCCAGCAGCACGACCATGCTGCAGAAGGAGCAGCAGCGGCAAGAGCAGCAGGAGAAGTAGCAGTAGCAGGAGCGAAAGGAGTAGAAGAAGAGGAAGCAGCAGTAAGAGCAGCTGTTGTAGAACACAAAATAACAGGCAGGTGGGATCGAATCCTCCCCAGGTCCATGAGCACACCCACAGAGGCTCGGTCATCCACTCAAGCAGCATCGCTTCTGCACAGAGGCGAGGCGCCCTTTCCACCTTTCACGCAAACTGCTCTTGAGACGACAGTCTGTTTCTTTCCTGTAGCGCCTGCACCGCCGCCCCTTTTGAGTATTCGAAAACGGCCTGGTGGTGCTGGTGCTACTCAGGCACAGTAGCGGGAATGGAATGGGGCTGCTATTTATTCAGATGGCAACGCACCTCCTCCAGGTTCTTGATCGAAAGCGCTCGATGTGCTCGCTGGCTCACTACACGATCAAAAGTAGCACGCGCAGAGATCCTCCTCCCACCCACACATCACGTCGAGATAGTGAACCATGTTCGCCCGAGACAGTAGCTGAAGCGGCCTTCGACTGTCCTCAGTTCTTGCTTTCTCTGCTGCCTCTCCATTTGCCCCAGCGGGCTGTCCTGGTCCACCCTAGTCGTTCTGGACTCTCAAACCCCGACGCAATGCCTTCAAGCGCTTATCCTCCTCGCCCAATTCAGTGGTAGAATCAGCAGGCGCCGCAGCAGGATCAGTAGAAGACAGGGAACAAGAAAGGCGAGGATAGCTGCAGATGCAGGAGTAGGAGCAACCTCGAAGTGCTCAACTTCCACCTCGGCCTTATCACGTCGTTCTGCTATTGCCAGCATCAGAATTACGGCACTTCAGCTCGGCTCTGCCAGTCATTGTAGAGTCTCCTCTCTTCGGCTCGTGACCCTCGTCTTCCTTGCTGCTAGGCTTGATTGGGTTCAGTCCGGTAATAAAAATAGCAGGCGTAGCAACAGGATTCGAACAAGGAAGAGAGACCGAAGAACAAGGCACACCAGTAGCAAATTCAGTAGTAGGAGCTCCCTGAAACTGTTCAACTTTCTCCTCGCTCTTATCCCGTCGTTTTCCATGCATTTTTTTTTAAGGACGCAATGCTAATGGTTGTACCCGCACTATGCTTGGCTTGCTCGACGGTGAAGTCAGGAGAAAGGCACACTTGCTGCCTGAGAGCCATAAAATGAACTTGCTGCTTTTGATTGGCAAAGTCTCGCTCCGCCACTTTCAACCCATCATGACCTCTCTGCTGATGTGTCTCGCATGGCAGGCAGAAGTCTGGCAGATGAAACTGAACCATTCTGTTAAAGACGGATAACGGAAGTTTGTCAAGAGCAACAGTGAGAGAGACAGTCACATCTGATTCGGTCAGCGAGTGATTGTTACTGAAGAAATCGTTTTCATCCGTGATGCATCCTGCGGTCTCGCCTCTCTCATTCGTACAGAAAAAATATTCGTGGTTCGACAAACAAGCTGGGATTTTGAAATGGATCGGGAACGCCATGGCAGATGCTGCATGATTTTCCGGGCGTGTTTATCATCCATTGAAGCCAGCCGCTGATTTGAAGGCAGTAGTGCAGTTTTGGACTACTAAAGTCCAAACGAGACTCTCTGATCACCGAGTAAGCTGGTGCTATCGTAGCAACGACATATGACGTCACAGAACGCTTTCCCAATCATGCGATGCTTACCATCGTCCCGGGGAAGCAATCGAGACCGGTCTAATTGTAAAACAGCCACTAAGTTGTTTTGGCAGAGTAGTAGTACTAGTAGGAAGCGCTCTTAGGAGAAATTCAGAAAGATAGTAGCAAGATAGTTTTACAAAGATCATATGATGACTTACATTTCAGATATGCATCCTAATATACTAGGATACTAGCATGGGCGCCTCGATCTGGTCGCTCAGGTCGCCTTTATCATTCCTAGAGCTAAGAACAGCAAAGCACAGTTGTCAGAGGTCCACTGGTGATCCCCGATTGATCCTAGAGAAGGGTTACAGGTTTGTTGTCCTCGGGGGTTATGGGCGCACTGACCCGCTACTTAACAAGCCCTTTTATCCCAATGGTTTAGTGGTTGTGATTCTGACATGGTATCAGAGCGAAGGTCTCGGTTCGAATCCCAGTGTGTGCACTTTGGGCATCCCAGTGCGGGGGGGTGTCAGAGGTCCACTGGTGATCTCCGATTGATCCTAGGGAAGGGTTACAGGCTCGTTGTCCTGGGGGGTTATGGGCGCACTGACCCGCTACTTAACAAGCCCTTTTATCCCAATGGTCTAGTGGTTGGGATTCCGACAACAGACACTATGATTATGTACAAGATATACAAGCCTTGTTGTCATATCCTAGAACCAATTAGCAAAGCCCTAGGAACTCACTAAGGTAATGGGCGGAGATTATTTGTCTTGTTGTCGTCCATGCTGTCGTTGATAATGATGAGCAGAAGTTGTGGTGGAAGAAGCTATGGACGTTGCTTGTTCGTGCTGTCGAGTAGTTTGCTGTGCTGTAGGTAGTTCTCTGCCCCATTGTGTCCAGCATTATGTCAACGGGACTTGTGTGTTGGCCCCGTCCTCGCTTGGGCGGAGCCGACTTCGTGGTCGGATGTGAGGGGAGCAGCCGACCTGCAGCAGTGGGCGAGCTGGTTGACGAGGAGGTCGACCTGCACAGGGGGGCACTGCACGGGCGCCAACTTTAGGGTGGCGCCGACTTCAGGGAGGTCGACCTGGGAAGTCGGCCTATGGAGGGTGTCGACTTGGTGACGCCAACGTGGGGGAAGCCGACTTGGTGGTCGGCTGACAGGCCTGCTGGTCGACTCGGTGGTTGGTCGACCAGGCATGATGTCGACCTGATGGTCGACCTGACCTGGTGGTCGATGGAGGACAAGCCGACGTCGACCTCGACTCAGGACGCCGAGCAGTTGGGTGTCGAGTAGCTGGGCGTCAACTTGGTGACGCCGACTTCGGGTAGCCGACCTGGAGCTGGTCAGCTGACAACTGCGCTGGTCGGCATGGAGCCGGTCGACCAGGGACGTGGTCGACCTAGTGAGGTTGACTTGGGGTGGTCGTCGACTCGGGAGGTCGACGTGCACTTACGGGAGCATCTGGTCGACGTGGTTGCCCGGTCGACTAGGTTACCTGGGTGACGAGGTTCTGCGGAGGAGTGCGACGGTCGACCAGGCGAAGTTGGCGAGTACGACCTTGGTGGTGGTATCTCGAGGTCGACATAGCGGAGCAGGTGGAGTCGTCGGCACGAGGGTGACTTGGTGTGTGCGTTGTGCAGGTGACAAGGCTCAGCCCGCCAATCATCTGCGAGCACCTGCAAAGCGAGTGCACTGCTGTTCTGCGCACGCCGTCAACCTGCGACGTTGGCACGGCATCGACTTTGCACTGCTGGAGCGCGGTCGACCAAGTCGTGCTGGAACGCGGTCGGCCATGCTGCGCTGGCAGTCGACCAACCTGAATGCTAGCTCTGATGTAGTCTTGCCATGCCAACTTCATTGTAATATTGTTGTCAACTTTCTCTAGTGAAACTCTTGCCAAATTAACCCGTGACCTAGCAAGCAGTGTGTGCACTAGGAAAACGACTAAGGAAAAGAGAACGCAGAGGTCACACGAGCATCCGTGCCTAGCCCGTAGTCTAGCTCCCGTTGTAGTAGTTATCTCCGCGTGGTTTGGTGAGCGTGGACGACACACGACTTACCTTTCGGTCAGGTTGACGTAGTGGTCACTTACCTAAGTAGGCCGGCAGCCGTACAGTCACTAGCGTGCGCGTAGGTGACGCTGAGGTGATGGACACCCTCGAGGGACGGCTGGAGGATGCGAGGAGACGCCATGAAGCCCAGGAGTACAGGGCGATACCCTGGGCGGTCGTCGAGGCTGGACTCCGCACCATGTGGTCGACGGAGCATCCCCCTTCTCGACCGGCCTCTCCTCGACCGGTGACCAACGAAGGCGACGTCGACGTGGGCGTCAACGTCGGAGGTGGCCAAGTCGGCAGCAGTGCATGAGGCACGTCGAGGTAGCGTGGTGTGATTCATGCCGATGAAGTCGGCGGCGTTCAGGCGCGAAGGGTGCACTCCTCGGCGGCTGCAGGCTCCTCGCAGGGCGACGCCGGAGGACGACGAAGCGGATTGTCGCCGATGTCGGCGACCCAGGTGACGGCGGGCGGGATTGCACCGAGCTACGGCTACTTCAAGTTTACGCCGGACAGGATCCTGGTCACCCCGCCGCTCGTTGGTCGACCCGACATACTCACCTGGAAGGAAGCCATCGAGCCCCAGCTGGAGATGGCCGGGCTGATCGGCTTCGCCCGAGGGACTGTGGCGACGCCGGATGAGCACCACCCCGAATTGCGGGCGGAGTTTCGCGCCGTGCAGCTGTTGACCTTCACGGTCATCTCGCGGTGCTGCTCGCCGGGCGTGCAGATCGCCTTGAAGTGGTGCCGAGAGTACCTCGACGCCGGCCACCGGGCGTGGCACTATATTGAATCGACATACCAGGTCACCGACGACCTGTTCATCGCCCAGCTGGAGGGACAGCTGACGCACCTGCGTATGGGCGACGAGGAGACGGCGATCGACTACTGCAACCGAGCCCGGCGAATTCTCGCCACCATCAGGATGGCCGGCGCGCAGTACTCGACGGCGTCGTACGTCACCCACGTCATGCAGGGACTCTCGAGCAGCTACAACTTGCTGAAGCAGCTGTCGATGGCGCCGAGCACGAGGACGTCGCTCAACGAGGACAACTTGACCTCGTACATCCTGCAAGACAAGGCGATGCAGGAGCCAGAGCGGTCCCAGGAGCTC